TGCATTTTCAGAGGTGGCTCAATCTAGAGTGGGTGATTGATTCATTGTGGGGGTAGGCCTGATGGCACTAGGATTAAGGGCTTGAGTGCTATGCACCCTAAGTACTCTGAATAGGATGAAAGGGGCAGAAAGACAGTGTTAAAACCTCTTGGAGCTTTTGCTGCCTCCCACCACCATAACCACTGCCCTTCTGCCACCCTGTCTTGGAGCCAGCTACTTAAGGACTGAAACCTCCACAAACCATGAGCCAAATAAACCTTTTCTCCTTTAACTTTGGGTGTCGGGTTTTTTGTCTCAGCAATGAGAGAAAAGTGAGACAGGAAGCCCGTTTGGGGCACATTGAAACATATCCTCTTCAGTTAAGGGGGACTATTATATTTTTTTCATGAAAATAGACATACCATTCCTATCAGACTGACTTGCTTTTATGAGCAGGAAAGAGGGGGGAGAATTTGTCATGTTCTGTCTTTTTGGTTCAAGTACAGTCTGAAAATATTAAATTTAAAGTCCCAGAGATGAAAACTGACAAAATTTAATTTATTCACCATTATTAGTAGCACGGTGAAGTTTCATGCCACCCCAGTCCTTCAGCCATCTCACTTCACCTCTTTATGCAGCTATCTAGTGGTGTCGCATCATGACAATCAGGGTGAGTACACAGAAAGGGACATTCAGAGAAAGACACCACATTCACGTTATGTTGGGTACACCATATTGTTACTGTAGCTATATATAAGTATTAGTTGTCATGCCTGGCCTAAGTGAACAAACAGGACAAAACAAGCAGGCTGCTTTATTTGAACAACAGCAACTTCTCAGTAAATAGAAGAAATGGATACAAAATGAACTATACAATCCCTCTGGCACTGGAAAGTCCGATGATTGTCTACATACCTGAGAAGACTGTCCTTGTGCCCCTAAGTCATAAACATTCCTTGTGATGACAGCTCCTTTCCCCAAACCTATATAAGCATAGTTTTCTTTCTCTGTTGGCTGCTAAAATCTATCCCTCATTTTATTCCCTGATTTTAGTCTCTGTTCACTGGAACACACTTTTCCTCACAAAAAGGCCTGTTTTAAACAAGTGGTTTCACATGTGCTGTTTATAATATTTCAGTGCCATGACTTGGATGATTATGTGCTCTCCTTGGAGAGATTTTTACCCTGCCTAGGAAGCCACTGAAGCCAGTCATCAACATAGGTCTCCTGATTTTGCTTTGTCAGTTCCTGAATGCATTTTTGTGGTCCCCGTGCCTCTAAAATCTCTCCCTCCCTCCCTCCCACTCTCTCTCTCTCTCCCTCCCTCCCTCTCTCCCTCCCTCCCTCTCTCTCCCACTCCTTCTCTTTCTCCTTCACATTGTAGATCTTAGAATCCCCCTACACCTACCACCACAGTTGTGCTGTAGATCCTGCTCCAACTCCAACTGCTCCAAAGTTCTGCCCTCTCTTCTCCTTTGCTTCTCTCTCTCTCCCCTCACCTCATCCTAGGAATACAAGTCAGTACATGATGAAGGTGTCAATGTATCATGATCCCCTAACATCCCTAAACATTTATGGATGTGAAAAGAACAAAGAAAAGAAAGAAAGACAGATTAATTCCAACAGAAATAAAATGGAAAATACAGAATTATAGTATGAGATTTCAGTATCTGTCCTTTATTTCCTTTTTGATTTGCTTCTTTGAGGCAGAGTCTTGTTATGTAGTTCGGGGTGGTACTGAACTCATTATATACCTCAAGCTGGCAGTCCTCCTGCCTCAGCCTCCCAAGTGCTGGGATTACAGGCCTGAGCTACCATACCTGGCTCCTGTTTTAATTTGGTAGCATAAAGAAAATTTTACAAGTCATTCCTCAATAGCAGCAGGACACTATTTGTTGGTTTCAAGTGCACATGGAAGAATATTATCTTTTTTATTAGCTTGCACTTTGATTAATTTCACCCTCTTTTACTGCCTCCACTCATCCCCTTCATCTTCCCCAATTGTATACTGAGAATATTTTCAAAGACAGATGGATAGTCTGAGCCACAAAACAAATCTGAGTGAAACTGGTGGGACTCAAATTGTAGAAACTATTTTCCATGTCAACAGGGGAATATGTTTAAAAATTGACAATTGAGGTATCACTAAAGATTGTACAGACTTTAAAAGGACAAGGGGATGAGGAAAGAGTATAAGCAACTTAAGTCCAGCTGGTTTCCATGATAAGAACCAAGGACTTTGCACTGCAAACCACACATCCCCTCTCTCCAACTTACCTAGAAACACACCACCTTCTCCCTGTGCCACTGGAGCTACCAACCACCATAGATTGTGAGCCTTTGAATTCAGCCAATGAATTTAAAGGATAGCTGTTTCCCATGCATTAGGGCTTATAATCCCGGCTTCCCCAAAGGCTCAGGGCATCTGCTCCCTCATTGCTGGGGCGAGTTTGCACCCTTTTTCAAAAGTAAAACCTTTGTTGAGACTTCTTGATGGCAGAGTGCTTCATTATCTGTGCTGACAACCTGAGTCTGAGCACTTATTTCCAACAGGTTGAAGCAGGAGGGAACTGAGTTTGAGTCTAGTCTGTACTATATAATGAGATGCTCTCTATAGAAACAAATAAACAAGCCAGAACATCAGCAAATCTGAACCAAAAAATGCAGCTATAGAGGCGGGGTGGGGTGGGGTAGCTCAGAGGTACAGTGCTTACCTGCATAGGCAAGGGCTTGCCTTTGATCACCAGTGCTGCAAAAACAAAACAAAATGTCCCATTGTTTCAGAGATTGCAGTCTGCGTAAGGCTTGCAATGCAGAAACATCATGGTAAATGCAAGTGAAGGAAAGTGAGTACTTCATGGGAAGCAGCAAGCAGAGTATGGACTCAGCCTCACATGAAGGGGCCAGGGGCCACATAAGGTTGATCAGGTCACAGTAGCATGACTCAACCAGACACGTAGAAGGGTGGTTTTCCAGGAAACTGCGCATCTCTCAGGCCAACCATCATAAACAAGAATATCACAATATTATAGACAGCTATGTCATTTAGAAATATTACAGGCAGTCAGGGCTAGGTCCTGGAGAGAGTGCAGAGATAAGAACTTTTTTGGGGGGGCGGTACTAGGAATCAAACTAAGGGCCTCACACTTGCCAGGCATGCGCTGTGCCTCTGAGCTACATCCCTGCCCCAATAAGAACTCACTACAACTGTGGTTCACAGCACCTTCCTTGCAGGTCAGGCTTCAAGACAAAGAGAAATGAGGACACCACATACTTCCCCTAGGGATGGACATTGGTAATTCATATTCTGAATAGGCATCAGTCACCTTGGGTAGGGGACCAAATCCTGCATAACCCATCCTTCCCAGAAAGACCTACCTACCTTTCTTTTCTTTCTTTCTTTCTTTCTTTCTTTCTTTCTTTCTTTCTTTCTTTCTTTCTTTCTTTCTGTCTTTCTTCCTTCCTTTCCTTTCTTTCCTTTCTTCCTTCCCTTCCTTCCTTCCTTTCCTTCCTTTCCTTTCTTTCCCTTCTTTCCTTTCTCTCCTTTCTTTCTTTCCTGGGATCAAACTCAGGACCCTGCACTTGCCTGCAAGGCAGGTGCAGTGCCATTGAGCTAAATTCCTGGCCCAAGACCTTGTTTCTTACAAGTATGCTTGCCACTTGACTTACTTCCCCATTTCATCCCCATTTAATCAATATTACCAAAGCAACTATACTTGTAATCTTATTAGTTTACCATAGTTTGGTCCCATCTTGTCCCTGCCTTACCTTGTGGCTTTGCTTTCTAAAAATCACTTGAGAATTGGTGTCTCCAGAAAGCCACTTTCTGGGATTCCCTTTTGTCTCTTTAGAGGGAAGCTTTTTTTTTTTTTTTTTTTGGTACCAGGGATTGAACTCAGGTCCTTGCACTTGGGAGGCATCCACAGTGCCACTGAGCTAAATCCTTGGCCATGACAGAAGCTATTTTCCTCTGAATAAATACTTTGTACTCTTCACCTCCATTGCTCCTAGAATTCATTGTTTAATTTTAGAGAAAGTGAACTCAGTGTAAGAGATATCTAATTTGTTGGAAAGGATATTTCCCTTATATTATTTGGAGTATTTGGAGATTCTATATCATATGCCTCATATCATTATGACTCCACATAATATTTTCCTTCCAGGAATATTAGTGCTGAAAGCAGGAGAATTTGAACCTGTAAAGAGGAACCTATTGGGCACGCAGAGTTTACAGGCTGAGGTCCTTATCTGTCCCTGCCTCATCACCGAGAGGTGCCCAAGTGGATCATGCGTGGGGCTCCATTTCAGCAATCATTCTAGCCCTTGTGCCTGGCAATATGTTTCTGTTCTACATTCAGGGTTTTTTATGATCCTGGATGACGTATCAAGTTTGTGTAAGGGACCTGGAATGTTTGCTTCTCTTCCATCTTTATTCTTTTGCAGAACATCACAATTATTTAACTCTCTTTCCCCCATCTACATAAGAATAGTATTCTTTTTCCAAGGGGAATATATTCATTTTCTTGAATGCAAATGAGTAGACTGAGACCCTGTGAAAATCTTGACGGTGAAGCCTGCTGCCTCCTTCCCACGTATTGACCTGTCAAGCAGCCAGCCCTCCCTCTATTCCATTGTGTCCTCTCCTGTGCTGCACGCACGGTGTTTTCTTACATCAGGGGATTGATTCTTCCACAGCACACCGACCACGGACCCTTCTGAGCACACACGGAACCCCATTTCAGGATGAACACATGGAGTTCATGAAGAAAACAGGTGCAGCTCTGCAAAGCCAGGAGTGCACTGCTGAAATGCACTTATTGTTAGGGAGGTGAGGTTGCCATCCTGGGAAAGAGCCCAGTCCAGAAGATCCTGGGTTACAGTCTATCATCAGAGCGCTACCCACGCAGACAAGAGTTGATTTCTCTCCTCTCTCTGGGCCCAGAGGGGTGGGCCCTGGAGCAAGAGCCAATCAGCAATGAGGAGGCGGCTGTATGAACTGTCTAATCAGGTGGGCCCATCAGGAGCGACTTCCGGTGTGGTGGCTCCCAAGCGGGTGTCCCCAGTGGGGACGCTGAGAGCCCCCGGCGGGGTAGACCGCCTTCTGTGACTGCTGCTGGCTGCAGTCTGCAAGGGAAGGACTCCGGGACCGGGAGCCATGCGATGGTGATGTTGTGGGGCCGAAGCCGGGCGGGGGCGGCATCGGGGTGAGGCGTGAAGGACGGGGACGGAGCCGGGTGCGGGGGGCTGCGGGGAGCTGCTTAGGGCGCGGCTGCAGCTCCTTGCGGTGGGGAAGGCCGCTCTCCGTGCTTATTCATAAGGTAAATAAACTGTTCTTCACAACCAGACTAGTTAAATGAGGCTTTCCAGAGAGCTTAGAACACTGGGAAATATTGATATTAATATATTGCTGTTGTGGATTTTGCTGGGAGTAACCATAGGAGACAGAAGAGCAGGAGTAAAACAACAAAATTTTATTTGCTAGCAGGCCAGCCCCACAGGAACGTCCCTTCAAGGGCTGACCCAGGGTCACATTAGAGGCTTACATTTATACTTTAAACTAGGTCTAGTCATGATTTACAGAAAGCTTAGGGTCTACATGTACTTTGCTCGAGAGGCATGGCGATTGTTATCTTGGTGTGCACTTCTGGCCTCACTTAGGTGGGGGCTGTGGTTAGACAGTGTTGCAGACCTTTCCTTATCTAGTGCTAGGTACCTGCAAGCTTATGGTGGATGAAACTTCTGGTATGGTTATTCTGGGAAGGGAAGCAAGTGAAGCAAGTTACAGGAGCAGAATGAAGCAAGCAGTTATTTTACATTTTCCTTAGTATTGCAGTGTGGAAAAAGGTAGATTTTTCTGTCAAAGGAAATAATCAAAGTCACTCTTTTATAAGAACCCCTATTTTTGTAAAATATACATGTATTTGTTTCACCATTCTTTCAAAACTTGAGACAAAGGCTGCTTGCCTGTCGCCCAGCATAGAACTTTGTACCAAAGGGCTTTCTGGATCACAGACTTTACTCTGCCCAGCAACCGTGACCTCATCCAGGTGGTTAATCAGGTCAGATTGTGAGGCCACAGTTCCACTGAAGAGTGGGCTCAGCGCTGAGTGCGAGCATCAGGAGAACACGCGGCCGCTCAGCCTGCTTGCTCGCTTTTGTCCGGCTGTGCACCCTTCTTCGGAAGTAAAGTTCGCCTTGCCGGGAAAGTATTGAAATTTATTTTCTTTTGTCCTCTTTCTGCCACCAGAGAATTTGTGCCCAACACCAAGGGAGGGGACGGGGTTGTTGCTAAGGACAGCTTTCTGAAAGGGCTGCCTGTTAAACCCGAACTGAGAAACACATGGGAGAGGGGAATCCGCAAGGACGTGTACGTGTGACATTGCCAGTGGTGGAGAGAAAAGGGGGTGTCATACCTGAAACAACTGTGGTAGTCCTTGCACTGTTTCTGTCCATTGATTCAAAATTGAAATGTCGATGGAGATGCACTTTATAAAACAAGCAGTGAAGTAGAGGTAAATCCCCACAATTGGCATCTCTAGGCATACAAATGAAGAGGAATAAAAGGGATGTTTGAATAGGGAGGAGCAAATCAGAGTCAAAGGTGTTATAGGGCCAGGTGAGTTGGAACTATACAGATGCACCACACTGAACTGAATGGAATCCTTTATTCTAAGCCAGCTGGTTGATGAAGGAAAGGTGGTGTGCAGGGTCCTTTTAAGGGCTCTTCTATTTGTGGAGGGCTCAGGGAGAGGAGGTGCATAAACAGAACTTCACAGGAGCAGAACTTTGCTAAGTCAGTGGAGGTCGGAGCAGTTTCACAGTTTAATTTAAACAAAATTTCACTCAAGTGTGGGGCGTCCTGTTTACAAGGCAGTAAAGGTAATGTATTTGCAGATTCACAGAGGATTTGGCAGTCTGTTAGGCCTTAACTGAGAGGACTCCCAAGGGGGAAGGGGAATGTGACCACTGGAAATTACTCAGCTTTACGTAAATGGAGTCAGTCTGGCTATCACAAAAGGAAACGGGAGAGGAGGGCTTGTGGGAGGGAAGTGAAATCAGCAGCCACAACAGGGATCTCCACCCCTGAGGTAGACTGTGTTTAGTGGGACAATAATGGAAGGACTGTGTGCTGGCTTGGGCTCAGAGTGGGTCCGAGGTCACTGGAAACATGTCTCATGTTACTCCTGATCAGTCCACCTAATCATTGGTGAGGCAAATTTAGAAATTAGGAAACAGGGCTTGTACATTTAGTAATAGGGTGACCATCATCATTGAATTAGAATGGGAAGGGTTTACTTGGATACAAAAGATTTGAAGGTGTGTTTGGTGTTTTTTATTCTACAGGAATTGAACACAGGAATTTTGCTCTGAACTACATCCCCATTCTCCATTTTTCTTTCTCTTTCTTTCTTTCTCCTTCCTTCCCTCCTTCCTTCCTTCCTTTCTTTCTTTCTTTTCTTTCTGTTTTTACACCTGGTCTTACTCATTTTCCCAGGGTGGGAAGGACTCTTGATGCTGTGTCCACCTCCCTGACTGCTGAGAAGGCAGGCGTGTGGCATTTTGCCAGTCCAAGGTTGGGGATCTCTAATCACCATGATTTACCAAGATTTCAGCGCTTGGGTAGAGTAAACATCAGTGAGGCATGGTGGTCACACCCTGATCCTAGCCACTCGGGAGACTGAGACAGGAGTATTGCAGCACTGAGCCCAGCGTGGACAATTAGAAGTAAATATTTTGGGATATACCTCCAATCTAACATGCATGAGACCCTGAGTTAAATCTTTAGTAGTAAAGAAAAAAGAAAAATTATTTGGTGGAAATCTTTCAGGTTTTTTTTTTTGGTACTGGAGAGTGCACTCGGGTCTTTGTGCTTGTGAGGCAGGTGGCAGAACCACTGAGCTAAATCCCCGGCCCTCTTTCAATTTTTTAATTCATTTACTTTTCTCACTGGTGGTATATGGTACAATAGCTGCTCATGATGGTGGACAGCAGTAATGAGTCACTGTTCTGTCAGCAGGTGTACACCCAGGGTGAACAGCCACTGATTTACAGTGCACTGCATTCCATAAAGTTCATGAGCTACTTAGTATTTTATTTTCAGTTTGTCTGTGTGTTACATAAATTTCCCAAAATACAGATCAAGCAATGTGTGTTGAGCAGGTTTAAAGGCTCCAAGGCTTGACAGTCATGTTTGATTAATCAGGTATATTCTGTGCATTTTCAATACATTTTATTTCCCACTTCCTTTGGGTTGGTCACAGTATTTTCCCTTTCTAACTCAAGTAGCATCTGTAGACCCATTTCACCCACTCTTTATAAACCCCTTTGTAGACGTGACATTCATCAGATTGTTTCCTGTTTTGAATGCTGTATTAATCAGGTTCTCCAGAGCAACTCATCCCGCAGAATAGTATGAGAGAAAAGGGAAAACTACTCTACATTTTTTTGGTTTTTATGTTTGTTTCTTTGTTTTTCTTTGACCTTTTTTGATTGGTATTATAAAGAGGTCCCCTACTCGGGTCATACTCTGGCTCACATCACCAGGATGAGGGGTAGGATAGAACTCTCCAGTGAAGACACAGGGCTGAGCAGTTTGAATGCAAGACACAAAGTGTGTGCAAGACTAAAGAGAAGAGGTTTGTATTGCTAGTCCTAATTCATGCTGATTCTGGGAACCTGCCTTTGTAGCTGCGATCTTCTGCCTTTCAGTACAGGGTTGCTCACTGCTCAAATCCCCCTTCCTCTTCATGACCTTAATGAGCTGAAGACAGGTCTGTCCAGCACTTTCACTTCTGAAACTGTTTCCCCTTTGCAGTGATTTGTGTCTGTCTAGGGAAACAGATGACCACGAGCCTTTGTTACATGTTTCAGAAATGACAAGAGACTGTAACCCTGAAATCTCCCTAAGTGACTCCTGGGTTCCCCAGACTCAGAACTGAACTTCCATGTTGGCATCCTGGAGAAGCCCGTGGAAATGGCTACAGAAAAAGGCATGGTTGAGAGCAGCACAGAGCTTCAGTTCGAGACCCCTTAGTCTGTCCCCCTGTCTCCCAGTGGGTGTCATCACAGACCATCAAGCAGTGGAGCCTGTTCTGGCTCTTCACACTAGCAACATTGAGAAGTAGTGCAGTGGTGAGGACAAGGAGGGTGTGCAGGCTCAGGGTACTTGGGGCTATGTCATTCATTCTGCCCGGGCTTGGTGTGCAGACTTTTGGCAGCTCTTGTGGTCTTTGTTTGCCCACCCTGGGTACCTAGTCATTCGGGAGCTTCTATGTGCACTGCACGTGGTACGTCGGGGGTTGTCAGGCATTGGTGCTTGTGCACGTCAGAAAACATGTGAATGTGTCTCAGCTTTCTTGTTACAGTCATGATAGAGAGCATGAGCAAGATCGTGGCATTGGCAGAGGTCAAGGATGTTGCTCAGTGTGACATGACACACAGGATAGCCCTTAAAAGAATGAAAGATTGGCCCTAAATGTCACAGTGCTCTGCTTGCAGGTATGTCTCCCTCTGCACACTCGTGACCCTGTTCACCTCTACTGGATTATGCACCATAGCTTCATGTACGGCGTTTGGGCTGTCCATAGGCCCTAGAGACCAGTGAGTCCTGGATGTGTGCTCTACACTCAGCTACACATCCAGCTCGTGTGCATTTAGGGTCAGTGCGCTGAGATGGGAGTGTTTAGGGTTCATCCTGTATTTCCATTTATTCTCTCCATATTGTTTCCAGATTTTTTTCCATGGCCATACATGTAGCTCCTGACAGGGTCTCTGCTGTTTGCCTCCATAACCTCTTATTTGGCTTCCCACAGTTAGGTTAGGGGAAAGCGGGCTTGTCTGGTTCTGTCACTGGTGTAAACACCACAAGCACCTTCTTTTGCTGCCCTAGAAGTAGATTTGGGAAAATGCCACAGGTGCTCGGGGCTCAGGAGCCTATGCTGGTGCACAGTATGTATCCGTTTAGGCCCCAGTGCACCCCATCCCTCTCGCACCATCCATGGGCTATAGTTCCTGTTTCTCATTTCATGGCCAAGCAACGTTAGGCTTCTTCTAATTTCACTGACTGTGAAAAACGACTGGCATACCTTGTGAAAAATAAGATTTACTATGGGTCAGTTTCAGTCCATGATCAACTGATTTATTTCCTATAGTCCTGGAGCAAG